GTGAAAATTTCATGTCATTAGCACCTCTAGTAATATATTTACTGAGAAAAATGGTGACGTGTTCAATACTTATTTTACCTGCTGTATGTACATGACAGTTAGCATTAGCGTTAGCTGCCACTAATTTTCCTACCTGTTTAGTACTTTAGTGTTTGTGAAGCTCATTTTTTCAGATAGCTAATTGATGTTGGCAAAACTAACTTTTAGTTAGCTGTGCCCACCACTGTAAATCTCCCATCTGTTTGGCCTTTGGTGTTGGAGAATGTTGGGTAAAAAATATCAGAATATTATTATTATTATAGGACAAAAGTACAATTCTAGTGTGTCCCATTAAAGCTCCTTGCTTTGTTGCCTCACTTGCTGAACTTTAAAATGGATCTACTCCACATACTCAGTGTTTTGGCCTTGAAGGCAGTATGTTGAAAATAGTATTGTCACAGTGAAGCATGGTGGTGGCAGCAGCATGCTGAGGGACTGGGGAAATGCTCCAAGCTGAAGGAACAATGGATGACTCATAATATAAAGAACTTAAAACTGTTTCAAAAAGCTACACAAGTCAAAGTCTTACATCTGTATTTATCCTCCAGGTGAGCTTTGCAAAGTGAGATGATGCCGGTTTTGAAGGACAGAGTCCGGATCTTTCCTGTGCGTGCTCTGTCAAACAAACATTTCCACACATTAGAAACAACAGAAGCWGTGGGACAGCCGACACGCTGGACAAATCTCTCCTACGTGTCGTAGACGTTGAGCAGCCAGTTGAGGCACATGTCGACGCTCAGCGGCACGTTGACCAGGTGGGAGTGGCTCTGCTCCAGACGCTGGTACAGGCTGGTCAGGCAGCCCACCAGCTGGGAGATGTCCAGCAGCTGCTCGTTCTGCTTCAGGCTGTGCTGCTCGAAGACCTCGCACGCTGCCGGCATGCTCAGCAGGTCCACTGGAGACAGGAAACACTGAGTTACAACACCAGATAAAACCAGCAGCACATTTCTTGTAGCAGCTGTCAGCACAGGGGTGGAGGGCTCTTGGTTTGGGCTCCTTACAGTCAGTGAGAGGACCAGGAACTCTGTAGACTGAGGGACTCTACAGTCAAATGTGAGGCCATCAGTCTGACAGCTGTTTGAGAACACTGATCATGATGCTGCAGCTCAATGATCCACACACATAAAACATGTCAGCTCACACAAGATTCACAGGTGTAATGTTGCATTCAATGCTAGTGAAAAGCTGGGACATCTGAGCTTTATTACATTTAATGAGTTATTAGAGGCAACTTGTTTCTGACTCAGCAGTTTTTAAACCTGGTTCCAAATATGTGCACTTTGTGGACGTTAGATCTAAAGTTCTTGTTTTTTATCTGAGAAATACACTGGAAAATATGTTAATCTGTAGTTTTCACATGCAGGTTTCCTGTAGATTCTGTGGAAGAATAATCTAATCATTTAGAGCAGTTTACTTCAAACGTACAGCTGAAATAAATATGTCTAAGTGAGGAAGTAAGAATAGATTTTTATTTCTTCGGATAAATTTTCCACCGGCTCATTTTAGGTTGTTTATTTCAGCCTTACCGTCCACAGGTAAGGTATTTGGAACCCAGTAATGTAAATATAGGTTGTGGTGGAACTAATACTTTTATGTTTAAGCCAGTAATTCATGACATCCTTTAATGACCTAGGTTTTCATGACATGCTGTTCATCTGCAGACAGAATGATTAAAGTCAGAACGAGATTTGCTAACAACAGTCATTCTTAGATATCACCTTGTGTTTATCTTTGTGTTTTCCATTGACCTTGTATCAAATCTTGCTAAGATGACATAATGGTGTTTGTTAATATATATGAGGCCTCTCAAGACACAGTGGACAGTAGTGAGTAGTGTGGAGAGACAGTGTGATAGAGTTTTATTGAATTTATTAAACTTCTTAAGGTGTTTCAAATAAAGTCTTGAGGTACGTGACAAATGTATTATTCATCATGGCGTGTCCACAGAGTGCAGCAGACAGAAACTGCTCTAAAGCAGAGCTGGTAAGACAAAACAAGTCTGTGTTGTTTTTACTATTATTCACATATTAAACCCCAGCAACAAGTGTTTTGATTGGTTCCTATGCCTATGACAAACCACATAACTGATCTCTGATTTGTTGTAACATTGTGTGACTTCATTCCTACGTGTGTGAATAAAACGACTGTTCACGCCCCCAGAGGTCAGAACTTCTCTGTGCTTCACTGTGCTTTAAGCAAAGCTAAGTATTCTCAGAATTTCTCCTTTGCAAAGTGAAACAAAAAATCTTACTGGTCTCTGTTTGTCATTGTTTAATGTTCGGCGGGGTTTTGTTATGTTTTCTGTCTGAGTTCCTAGGTTAAAAAAACCGAACACAGTGACAGAGAGGAGCAGAGGCACAGAGACAGGGCAGGTTGTTCTCTGTGTTTCCTGTTGTTGCAATAAAACTCAGCTGATCATCTCACGGAGTACCTTCATTCTTGGACCACGTATTTCTGTCTTTGTTGAATAAATACTGCCATAACATAGGTGTATGTGTTTTTTACTGGGTTTAGGAGCTATAAGTCAGAATTTTTTTTTCTCAACAACCCTGTAAATGCAGCAACGCTCCGATGTCCCAGCTTTTCTCCAGCCTTGAACGTTACACGTGTGAATCTGGAGCAGACAGAAAGTTTTACATCAGATTCACGGGTGAGCTGATCCACGCTCTGATCTTTTTGATTCATTTAACTCCATACACAGCAGCTAATCTGCAGCAAAAAGACCCATATTTCTGTTTATTTTGCTTCAGATGTTATAAACTTTGAGAGATTTTGAACGAAAAAAGGAGAAAGCGGACAAAAGAGAAAATCTAGACAGTAACAGGAAGGCTGTGCTGAYCAGGCTTACTGTAGACCTAGGTTTCTTCTTTACAGTAAACCCCGGCATCTACTAACTAACACACAACATGCTGAGGGTTGACAGCAGTTAGAGGTGAGAGGACTGAGCTAACACACCTGTGGACTGACACACTGACAGGACAGACAGGCACAGACGAAGAACGCTGTGAGGACAGAAAACATGGTGCCCCGTGTGGAGCACTTACAGCACAGAGCTTTCTGCAGGCGTCTCAGCTTCATGGCTGTGCGATAGGCTGAGAACCGAACGTTGTTCAGGTCGGCTGAGGAACAAAGCAGAGTGGAGATTATCATTTTTGTTGGTGTCACTCTGGAGGGAATACATATGGTGTTAGCTCCTTAATGACTTTTTGTGTTCTAGTCTTATTTTCAACCTCGTTGACAACAATTACCCCCAGAAATCATTGTCAGCTACAAAATGGGGACGTGTTTAAAGAGTAACTAAGCCTCCTGTGGAAGTACTTCAGTTACAGGAAGAACAGGAAGAATATTTTCTCATTTTGGTTTCATCCTATGGTTCGTTTAAAATTCACAGAACTGATATGTGTTCTGTCCCCCTCTGATCATTCAGAAGACTCACAGGGCTTTCTGCCACAGCCTCGTCCCACACCACTGTGGAGGCGGAGGGGCCAGGCAGGCTGACATGTGAAAAAAAAAAAACCTGCTGCGTCGAGACTCAGTAATGAAACTGATAGTGAGGACCTTACAGAAATAAACATTATCAGATTTATTACAGAAGGTGGCGCGACACTGCAACTTTGTAGTTAGTTTGGAGACTGAATCCCAAAGAGGATGACTGAAGTAAGTTCAGTTTGTTTTTTGATACGAGGCAGATGACTGTGTGTGGCTCTTTCCCTCCCACTGCCTGCTTCAGAACTGACCAGCTTCTCCACTAAAACATGGCTCTTTCAGAAGACGCCTCGTACCGTTACTGACATGTTCTGACCACCTCAGTCCATTCAGAAGACACAGGGAGGTGAAGACACCCAGCCTTTGTACCTCTGAGCAAGGTGACAGAAACCATAATGCTGACTCCTGAGAAGGAGGGCCGGCGCAGTTCTGACAGGTTCCTTAAATCAAAATGCCACATTTAAACTTTCTGTGTGTTTTTAGTTTTTCGTTTTTTTTATGTTTGCACAGAGGAGGAAAGAGGCTGTTAAATTACGCAGCATATAATAAGACTCATCAGCTGCTTGAGTGACAGCAAGAGCAGAGAGCAGGGTTCATGCAGGTTTCAATAAGTTAAATTTAAAACCTTTAAAAGACCTTTAAAGACCATTATGACTGACATTTAAGACTAAACAGACACATTAACAGAAACATTCAAATAGTCCCAGAAATTTTAACATGGAAAGATTATTTAATTTTAATATAAGAACATTATTTGATTTTCATGAAACGGTCACAGGGCTCCAGACTAACTTTTTGCACTGGTTGCACTGGTGCGCCTAACATTTTTTCGGGGCGCACCAGCACAAAAGTTAGGTGCACTCAAATTTTCAACCACGTCACATTTAACATCAAGAGTTTTACAGGTTATTTTTTAATCACTGTTCATTAAGGCAACATTAACTCGAAAATAATTACTTAATCTGGTAAACATGAAGTTCTTTATTTGAACCAGAATTGTACAATAACTATAACTTACTGAAAAGTATTTAAAGTGATTC